CTTCGGAGCCGTCGCAGCCTTAAACGTTGCGAGCCTTTCCTTGGTCGCTCGGGCCGTTCTCCACTCAGGCTCGCGGATCTTACGTCGCGCCCGGCAAAGGTCTTGCTGTGCGATTTGTTTTTCAAAATCTCAGTGGAAGGGTGGGCCGAGTTCGACGCCGTTTTCTTCAGCTTGGGAGGCGCGGACTGTTCAAGACAGACGTCCAAGACTCTTGTAGTTTTTTCAACGCCAGGAGAGCGTGTGCTGACCCAAACGCACGGCGACTACCGACACTGGGGCTGGCCAGTGAGCTGGGACGAAGTTGTGTATTTTGCGCGCAAGAAGTTGGGCGGGCTTGTGCAAGTTTTGTTGGTTGGCAGAACAAAGCGGCTGCCAACCAACGCTCTCCTTTTAGATCCGTCGTGGCACGAAACCCGCCGGGCGCGCGAGAAGATGCCTCAGCTGCAGCACGTGCAACGCTGCTTCGAAGCGAATTTGGCAGCGCTGAAGCGCGACGAGCTGCCACAAGTTTCACCCTTTGAGCCCATGATCGACGAATAGCGAAAGAACGGAGAGGGAGAAAACACACAAGTGACAAAGTTTGGAAACGCTTGGCGGGCCAAACGATTCTGCAGCATTTGAGAACGCGCGCGCGACGTCTCGCGCCGCTGCCCTGCGAGGTCTTAAGACTGCGCCTTGGATTGCCTCTCGGGCGTGCCTTGGCTTGGACGCGCCTTGGACTGCCTCTTGAGTGCGCCTTGGCCTGCTCCTTGGGTCGCTTTGGGGGAACAGGGGCGGACCCGGGGAGAGTCAAGCCTGGTGCCTTTTTCGAGGGCCGTCGTTTTGCGCCCTCTGCAGGGAGCCTTAACTGCGCCTTCTAAAGCGAGGGGGCGTTTAATTGGGCGGGCGAGCCCACCTTGGATTGCCTCTTGGGTGCGCCTTGGGTTGCTCCTTGGATAAGCCTGCCAGTCGCCGCCTTAGCTCGGCGGCGCCCCGCGACGCGCCTTGGGTCGCCCCTTGGCTGGCAATCAAGCGCCTTGGTCGTGTCTTGGCTCGCGCCTTGGGTCGTGCCCGGGCTCAAGGTCAAGCGCCTTGGCGCCCTTAAGGGGGCCTTGCGCCCTCTACACAGAGCCTCAACTGCGCCCTTTATAGGGAGCCTTGACTGCGCCTTGCCTTGGATTGCCTCTCGGGCGTGCCTTGCATTAGGATGCGCCTTGGCCTGCCTCCTGGATGCGCCTTGGCCTGCTCCTTGGGTTGCTTTGGGGGAACAGAGGCGGACCCGGCAAGAGTCAAGTTGAGCGCCTTGGCCCTCAGCAAAACTAGGCTGCAGCAGTTCCTCGCGGCGTCCCAAAAACGCCCCTGCCCCGCCATGGCTCTGGAGAGCAACTGTGCGGCGGCGCTGCTCGGGGCTTCGGCATGGGAAGCCGCCGCGTTCTACGCGGCCATGCCCACCTCTTCCAAGGAAATCGCGGAGCGCTGCGGCGAGGACGCTGTTCACGACGGCCGGCGCGCGGCCCGCCTCGTGGCCGACCTTGTCGCGCTCAAGGTGCTAGCGCTGTGCTCGCGGCTCGGCTGCCGGCCGAGCGTGCAAGACTACAGCGCGGTCCTGCGGAAGGCAGTGAAGTTGACCGGCCTGGCGCTCACGGCGGACAAGAAGTCGCAGCTGGCGCAGGCCATAGCCCTCCAACTTCGGCGCGCTTGCCAATGACCCCCGCTGACGCCGAGCAAAAAGCGCTGAGCGAGGCACTGCGCAGGGCGAAGTTTAAGGGCGTTGCTTTTGGGTTGGCCAGAGCCCGCAACGAAGGGGGCCTCTGAGGGTCGCTGGTCGCTTGCTCTCCGGACTTGCCTAACGCCCGCTAGAACCCTTTCGGCTTTAACGATCTAGCGCAGCGCGCCTCGACCGCCGCCCCCCTTGCAGCCATGCCCCGCTGGCCAAGTGGGTTGCCGAGCAAGAGTCCGTGCTTGCCACCGAGATGGCGGAGACTGAGTGAGCGGGCCCGGCGCGCAGACTGTTTGCGTTGAAGACGCAGGAAAAGCGCAAAGCGACTTGGAGAGTCGAGTCGGCTTGCGGAAGTTGGCCGTTTGAGCCCCGGCCTTTGCCAGCCGTCACGATCTCGCGGCCGCCGCAGCTGCTAAGTAGCCACAGCTCTTGCAACGAGCCCCTTTCGCGGCCAAGTTCTCAGACCTCATGGCGGACGGGGGCGTGCCTGCAGTAGGAGATCGCGTCCTGGTGATGCGGCAGCCGTGGCTGGACCTTGTGTTGAGCGGCGAGAAGACCTTGGAACTACGAGCGACCAGGCACGCGCTTGGCCGCGTGTGGCTGGGCATGGGCGGCAAGGTCTACGGCGGCGTGACCATCGCCGGCTCCCGCGTCCTCAGCGAGGCAGAGTTCCACGAGTTCGCGGACCAGCACCTGTGGCCGCGGGACGCGGCCCTGCCGTACGAAAGGCGCGTCTGCGGGCTAGCCTTGACCGCGCCGCAACGCCTGGCGGAGCCGATCCCGTACTGGCGCCCGCCCGGCGCCGTCGGAGTTAACATCTTCCGGAGGACGGCCGAGGACGCCCCGCCTGCGCGGCCCAAGGGCGGCGGCAAGAAGAAGCGCCCTGGAAGCACGCCGCCGACCCAAATCGACCGCCAAGCCGGAGAGCGAGAAGCAGAAGCGATGACGGCGACCGATGGAGAGAAGGCGGGGAGCGAGGCCGAGGCCGAGCGATGAAGCCGCCCGGCCGACGTAGTTCTTGCAGTTCGGCGCGGTGTTTGGAGCGGCGAAAAAGACGGCGGGCGCGCGCTATTAAGGAGGGGCTTCGATCAGGGTTCCCTGCGTTTCCCATTTTCGAGGGTTTTTGGCGTCGCCTCTCTGGACATTTGAAAACGGGTTTCCCTTTGGCCGGTGCGACCTTTGAAGGGGAAATGTGTGAAGCCGCGTCGCCGGTCGCTTTATCCCAGGACTCCGGCGTCCAAGCCTAGCACCGCTAGAATCCTTTCAGGACCTCCCTCGCCTTGCAGCCATGCCCGCAAAGCGCCGCCTCTTGACAAGCGGCCTGCAGTTCAACGGCACGGCGAAGAAGGCTCGCGGGGACCACTTGGCGCAGTTGGCCCCCGGCGTCTTGTTCGCCGCCGTGCGTCCGTGGGGGAAGGCTTTCCCGTTCTTCGAGGGCTTGGAGACGGACGTCCCGCTGTGGCAGGTGCAGATTGTGGGCTCCGCCAAGGACGCGTTTGGGCCCGGCAAGGCCCTGAAGTTCTCGCGCGAGGCCCTGCTTGAGCACCCCGACAAGGACGTCCGCTGCCTGGAGTCCTTGGAGAAAGTTCTCCGCGTCAAGTTGAACATCGGCGCCCCGCCGGCCCAAGGCGTCATCGACCCCGACGACGTGGGCGTCGTGCCGTGGAACGTGGCGGTCTATTGCGCGGGCGCCGATCCGTCCCCCGCGCTGGACTTCGCGACCTTTGTCCTGGACCATAAGAAGCGCGTCGGCGAACTGGCCGTGGTTCCGCGGCTCGGCCTCTTGACCACGCCGCGTGGCTTCGACTTTGGGAAGGATTTTTCGCGCTGGGTGCGGATGGACTTCCCGCTGCCCAAGCCGTTTGCGGTCGGGCCGCCCAAGGGCCGCCGCCACGTCGTGTGCCAGCTGGAGCTCGCTCGAGCTGAGGCGGCCGGGGGCGGAGAGGAGCAGCCGGAAGAGGAAGACGACGAGGAAAAGCCGAGTCAGGGGTCGGGGCGAGCGGAAAACCCCGCAGGCGGCCGCCGCTACTCGCTGCTCTTCTACGGCGGCATCTACGCCTACCGCGGCCGCTTTGACGAGAAGGACGTCCCTGGAGCGCACGCCCCGAGCCCCAGCGGGCGGGACCGCGACTACGTGCGGGCGCTGGAAGTCGAGGATTCCCCGGAGGGCAAGCTGACCATCCAAGAGATCTTCGCGGACGTGCTCCTGGGGGCCCCGCTCCACTTTGTCAACGCCGCCTCCGCAGAGGACCCGCTGGGCAAGTGGGTCGCCGAGCAAGAGTCCGTGCTTGCCACCGAGATGGCGGAGACTGAGTGAGCGGGCCCGGCGCGCAGACTGTTAGAGTTGAAGACGCAGGAAAAGCGCAGAGCGATTTGGAGAGTCGAGTCGGCTTGCGGAAGTTGGCCGTTTGAGCCCCGGCCTTTGCGCCAGCCGTCGCGATCTCGCCGCCTCCGCAGCGTTTTTGCGCAGCTAAGTAGCCACAGCTCTTCCTTTCGCGGCCAAGTTATTCTCAGACCTCGTGGCGGACGGGGGCGTGCCTGCGGTGGGAGATCGCGTCCTGGTGATGCGGCAGCCGTGGCTGGACCTTGTGCTGAGCGGCGAGAAGACCTTGGGACTACGAGCGACCAGGCACGCGCTTGGCCGCGTGTGGGTGGGCATGGGCGGCAAGGTCTACGGCGGCGTGACCATCGCCGGCTCCCGCGTCCTCAGCGAGGCAGAGTTCTACGAGCTTGCGGACCAGCACTTGTGGCCGCGCGACGCGGCCCTGCCGTACGAAAGGCGCGTCTGCGGGCTGGTCTTGACTGCGCCGCAGCGCCTGGCGGAGCCGATCCCGTACTGGCGCCCGCCCGGCGCCGTCGGGGTCAACGTCTTCCGGAGGACGGCCGAGGACGCCCCGCCTCTACGGCCTACAGGCGGCGGCAAGAAGAAGCGCCCCGGGAGCGCGCTGCCGCGCGGACAGTCGCGGCTTGACGCGGCCGCGCCGACTCAAATTGACAGCCAAGCCGGAGAGCAAGAGGCAGAGGCGACGGCGGCGACCGACGGGGAGAAGGCAGGGAGCGGGGCTGAGGCCAAGTGATGAAGCCGGCCGGCCGACGTAGTTCTCGCAGTTCGCCCGCGGCGGCGCAATGTTTGAAGCGGCGAAAAAGGCGGCGGGCTCTGCCGCGCGACGTTGTTCGGGCCTCTCCGAGCCCTTGACTATCTCGCGGGAGCGCAGTTTGCGATTGCCACTGCGGGCGGGCTTCTTGGGCCCAAGCTCCTTGTGCGAGACCTGGCACGGCCCTTGCAACTTCCCGGGGCAACATGCCGCTTGTTCGCGGCCCGGTCTTCGACTTGTTGCTACTCGAGCTCCTCGAGCTGCTGGACGGGCGGGCAACGCTTCGCCTCTTGGCGCTTTGCCGCGACGCCCGTAGGCCAGAGCGGGCGGCGCGGGGCGCCGCCGCGCGGAGGCTCGCAGAAGATTTCGCGGCTTTCCTGCAAGGCGCGCGCGTTCGCTTGCCGGGCTTCGAGCTCTGCGACTTTCTCGAAGCGCGGGCCTGTTGGGACTTCAACGAGGAGCGGGCAAACCGCTTCCGCCCGCCCGCCTTTTTAGCCGGCGCCTTCTGCGCGGGCTCGCAGTTCCAGATGCGGCACTGGATTGATCGCTATTGGCGCCTCCGGGGCCTCGATCCAATGGAAGTGCTGCAGCGGCTCAACTTCTTCGACTTGCTTGGGGGGCCAGAGTTTGACTTCTACCTCGGCTTGCTGCGCAAGGGCCAGGCTCGCTTCATCTACTCGCGCGAAGTCGATCGGCCTGGCGATTTCCGCGGCTGCTTGGCGGCGGGCGACGAAGACGACGAGGAGCCGCCCTTCGACGCCGGGCTGGCCATTGTGTTCCGCTGCGACCACTTCCTGACGGCTGTTTGCGCGCGGCAAGCTCGGCCGGCGCAGCCGCGGTGAGTCGGAGGGTCGCGCGCCGCGTTCGGAAAAAGGAGCGCGCTGCGAGGAAGAGAGGAGGCGGAGGCGAACAAACGGCGAGAGACGGAGAAGAGCGGAGGGGGGGCGCGGCCTGCTGCTTGTCGCCGCTGCTCTTTCGACGCAGCTCCGGGCCCAAGCCACTTCCAGCTTCGCCGCGCATGCTGCAAACGCTGGGCCAGCGGCCCCGATGGGCCGACGTGTGGGACTCCGAAAGCGACGAGAGAGAGGATGACGCGGTGGGCGCGCGGCAGGCGCCCGCGGCCGCGGCTCTCTCTGAGGCCCGGGCTGACAACGGCGCTCTCTGGCGCGAAGTCGCCGCCTTTGCGGGGGCGACCACGGGGCCTTGCGCCTACTTGCGGCTTCCAACTTTGGCCTTGTGGCAGGCGCGGCTGCGCCGAAAGTGCGAAGACTGGCACTTTCCGCTGCCTTCTTGGCGATGGCTGGTCTACGGCGAGTGCACGCCGAGGTCCAAATTTTTGTGCTCTTCCTAGGCTTCGTTTCGGAGCGGCGCCTGTCCCGGCCTTGCCGGCGGGCGGTCCGGGCTTGGCAAGGGCGGCTGAAGGCTGCCGCCTTGGACTGCGACTTTCCGTTTCCTGTGTGGCGAGACGTGGTCTGCTTTGACCGCTTCCGCCGCGGCCGCCCTTGCATCCGGCTGAGTTTGGACCGGGCCCTGTTCGCAGCCGCGGGGTTCTTGAGCGGACCGCCGACAGTCGCAAAACGCAAGACGTTGCGGGCGACAGCCGGCGTGGACCGCGCCGGGTAGCTCCCGGGGAACGCCTTCGAGGAGAAAAGTGGCCCTCGCAGGAGAGTCGCGCGCCTTGTCTTGCAAGGGAGTTGGCGAACGCCGTGGCCATTTGCGAGACGCTCAAGCCCTCGACCGCGCCGCCGCCCTCCAGCTTTCTGCGAGCAGGACTCGCCGGCAGGCCGGCTGCCCCGTCGCGAGTTTGCCGGCGGCGCCCGCAGGACCGAACTATGGCTCCTTCTTCGGACAAGGCACGGCGGAAAATGCGTGAACTTAGCCCGCGCGGGCCGCGCCGTTGCGCGCAGACACTTCGCCGCCGCCGCAGGTCGCCGCGGTCTGCGTCTTGGCGGTGGTCGGCGTGCCCGGGGACGGAAATTGCCTCTTCCACGCCCTTGCGGCGCAAGACCGGGAGGCGCGTTGTGGGGAAGAGCTGCGCGCCGAGCTGGTCGACTTCCTGGAGCGCAAGGCCGGCGACCAGGACGGCGTCGAAGAGGTTTGGCGAGAAGAGGCCGAGCACTTGCGGGGGCCCCCGGTCGAGCGCTGGGGCGGAGCCGTGGCAATCTCGGCCTACTCCTTGCTTCGGCGGCGGCGAGTCTTCGTGCACGTCAAAGTCGCGGGCGCCGACGCCGCAGAGGTCTGGAGCAACTCCCACCCGCTTGTCGACGCTGACGCGCCGGTCGTTCACCTCCTCTACGACGGCGTGGGCCACTACAACGCCTTGGTCGAAGTCGAGCTCTCTGACGAGATGGCCCCGGCGTGGCCGCAGCCGCCGCCGTCGCTTTGCTTCGCTCCGGCGCTCGCGGAAGCCGCGGGCGCCAAGGCGGGCGGGGTCTACGCGAAGGACGGGGCTGGGGTTGCGCCGCAGTCGCTGAGAGACGGCGCTCGGCGCGCGCGGCCAGGAGTTCCCAAGCTTGGCCGCGGCGGCGGCGGTTGAGCCGCAAGCCCGCCCCGCTTGCGCGCGCGGCCGCTTCGCGCGGCCCGCGAGAATTGCTCAAGCGAAGTCGAGGCGCCGGCGCCGGGACAAGGCGGCCAGCAGTGCCCCCTGCGACGCGCGCGGCCAAGGAGTTGGCGCAGGAGCTCTGCGCCTGGCCGGCGCCCTCGCCGCGCGCCAGCGAAGCCCAAATTGCGGCCGGAGCCGCTTGCTGGCTATTCTTGCCCTCTTTGACGAAGACCGCGTGTTTGGGCTGGGCTCCTTTTGAACCCGCTCGGGGCTGAAAGGTTCGATTTGGCGAGCCGCGAGAAAAGCGCGCGGCCCAGACAGAGCGTTGCTTCGTTGCCTGCCTTGCCTCGCGCAAGAAGTTGCGGCTGGCGACCGGCAGCCGTTTGCGAGACTCTCGAGCTTTCGCCTTCGCCCCGCCTTCCGGCATTTCGCGCGCAGGACGGGTCGTCGGCTGCTCGCTCCGCTGCGCGTTCGACCGGCCGCGCCCGCAGCAGGACGTTGACATGGCTTCCGCTACCGCGGCATCTTCGAACGCCGCAGCGGGCAAGGCCTTGAGCGAACGAGAGAGAGTTTCGTGTGGCTGTCTGGCTCGCTGCGGCAGGCGGCGGTGATCTGCGCCTTGGCGGTCGTCGACGTGCCCGGCGACGGGAATTGCCTCTTCCACGCCCTCGCGACGCAGGACGAGGTGGGCCGCTGCGGGGAGGAGCTGCGGGCGGAGCTGGCGAACTTCCTGGAGAGCGAGGCCTTCCACCAGGACGGATTCGAGGAGGTGTGGCTGGAGGAGGCCGAACACTTGGGCCTGCGGCTGAGTGCTGGGGCGGGGCCGTGGCCATCTCGGCCTACTCCCTGCTTCGACAGCGGCGGGTCTTCGTCCACGTCAAGGTCGCAGGCTCCGACGCCGCAGAGGTCCAGGACAGCTCCCACGCAGTTGTCGACGCCGATGCGCCGGTCGCCCACCTCCTTTACAACGGGGTAGACCACTACAGCGCCTTGATCGAGGCGGAGCTCTCCGGCGCGATGGTCCCGGCCTGGCCGCAGCCGCCGCCGCCGCGCTGCTTTGCCCCGGCGATCACGGAAGCTGCGGGGGCCACGGCGGCCGCTGTCTACGCAGAGGACTGTGTTCGCTTGCGCGCCGAGAACAAGGGGTCAACTTCGCGGCCAGGAGTTTCCAAGTCTGGCCGCCGCCGCGGCCGCCCGCAAGCCGGCCCGCTCAGGCCGCGGACTTGGCCGCGCGCCGCGGCCCGCCCAGCCCGCTCCGACGAAGTCCCGGCGCCGCCTTTGGGAAAAGACCACGCCGGCGCCGGAGCTGCAGGACGACGTGATGGAAGAGGTTGGCAAAGCCTTCGTGATCCCCGCAGCCCAGACCTCCCACCCCTTCCGCCCCCTAGAGGACGCGGTGACGGAATTGGCGCTGAAGCTCCGCCTTCAGCCGACACTCCCGCCGGGCGCCGACGAAGCTGAGCTGAAGGATGGAGCGGTCTGGCCCCGCACCTTCTGCACCTTTGACGGCTGCGGGTGGGAGGCGGCGGACGGCCTGGAGGCGGACCTAGCCCGACATCTCGAGACGGAGCACGCCGAAGACTTGCAGCCCATCGCCGCTTGCCTGCTCAGGCCTCGCTGCCCAGACGCGCTGTCGAGCGTTTACAGTGAGGCGGTCGCTCAGCGCTGCCGCGCCGACGCGCCGCTGGCGGGGTGCTCTTTGGACCGCACCGCGCTGCGCTCCTTTGCCAAGGCGACCGCGAAGGACAGCGTGGAGGCGCTGATTTGTTTCTGCTGCGCCTGCGTCTACACCTGCGTGGCGGAGGTCGGGGAGCGCAGCGAGATCCAATGGCGGCGGCCACTGAGCCGCGCGCCGTCGGGGGAGCTTCTCTTCTTCGGGCGGCCGGCGGCTGCTGCGGCGGAGGTCCTCGGCTTGGAGCACTTCCTCAACAAGTACGACCAGCTCAACGGCCCCGGCAAGAAGTTGTCCGACCACGAGACCTTCGCCTCCTGGAAGTTGCGGCTGCCTGGGCCCGACGACGTCGAGCTCTTGTGCTGCCCGGAAGACCACCGCTGCGGCGCGGCCCCTGAACACGTCGCGGAGGGCGTCCTCTGCGAGCACTGCGAGCTGCCGGTCTGCGGCGAGTGCCTCGACCATCTCGCAGAGGCGGAACTGCCCCCGCTCAGCTTGGCGAACGACATGTGGACGGGCTACGCCCCGGAGCGGATCTACACGGAGGAGGCGACCGTGATGGAGCTGATCTGCGCCTCGCCCTGCGTGACCACCCTGATTTGCATGTCTATGGAGGCGCGGTTCCGCAGCGAGGCCGGCGCCCTGGACGAAGCGGCTCACATGGCCAGGCATCGCTTCGGGGCTCGAGGCAACGCTCTGTCCTTCCCGCTGCCCTGGGAAGACGTCTTGCAGGCGGGCGGCGACCGGGCGGCGGCGCTGCCGCGCAGTGGGGCGGAGCTCGGCCAACTGGTCCGCGTGCTGCTCAAGACCAACAAGAAAGGCAAGACGACCGACGCGGAGATCAAGGGCCTCATCGGCGGGAGGTGGTGGTCAACCTCGTCTTGGACATGAAGCGCCTGGGCCACCCGTCCTTCGCGGGCGCGGACGAGGAAGGCGTGCGACTTCGAGCCGCCGCGCTTCCGACCGACGGGGCGCCGCCCGAGGTGTTGAAGGTCGTGGCCCAGGCGCGGGGGGCGCGGGGCGTGGGGGGCGCGCCCGTCGCGAGATCGGCCTCGCTCTCGCTGTAGGTGGACGCCGACTTCGACGACGCCGAGGACAAGTCGCAGCCGCAGAAGGCGGCGACGCCGTGCGACGGGCGGCAAGAGGACGTCGCCGCCGCCGGCGCGACCTTTGCCGCCCAGCGAGCGCGGGCGGTGGTCGCGGAAGGCTGCGCGGAGGAAGACGCCAGTCAAGCCGCGGCGGCCGCGCTGAAGAAGCTGCGGGAGGAGCTCGCGACGGAGGCGGAGCTGCGGAGCATGGAGAAGCTAGAAGTCAGGGCCGGCAATCAGCTCGTGGACCAGTTCCAGCCCCTCTACTTCGCCGTCGCCTTCTGCTTCTGCTTCCCCCGCGGGACCGCGTGCCCAGACGTCCGGAACTCTGCAGCGCGCGCGGAAGAAGAAGAAGGGCGCCGCAGCAGGCGCGAGAGGCGCGGCGACGGGGGGCGAAGAAAAATCGAAAGGGCGACGCCGGGCGCCCAGAGTGAATATCCGCGCCTGGGCCGCGGCCATGCAGCGCCGAGTTGAGGCGCAGTTCCGACGCGACTGGACCTTCGGCTTCGCAGTCTGGAACTACCTCTTCCGGACGGCGGTCAACCTGCAGAAGAACGCCTATATGTTTTCGGCGCCCAACGCCGACGGCGGCGGCTATCACTCTCTAAAGCCGGAGGAGATCGTCGCGGGCGCCCAGGAGCTCGCCCGCCGCTTGAACGGCACTTACACTGACGTCAACGGCGGGGAGAAGCCGGTCCGCGGGGATTTGACTAAGCTACGCTTCGCGAACTTGCAGCCCGCCGCCCGCAAGATCTTGGCCAACGTCGAAGCCCGGGCCGCAAACATCCCCGGGACCCACGAGGTGCGCAAGACCATGCGCCTCCAGACCCACGCCTACCGCGTCTGCTACGGGACCTCGATCTTCTTGACTTTCTCGCCTTTCGGAGCGAGACACTGCCCTGATGCTGCGCCTGGCGCGCGTGCGAGAAGAGGACCCCGCGCTGCTCCGGGACGGCGCGAAGCGGTTCCAGGCCCGCGGCGCGCCGGCGCTGGACGAAGAGTTCTGCCGGCTCAGCCCCGAGGCCTTGGCGGAGAGCCTGCCGAACTACGAGGACAGGCGCGCGCTGCTAGCCAGGGACCCGCTGGCCTGCGCGGAGGGCTTCAGGACGGGCGGGCGCGCGTTTCGCGTTGTCGCCCGCTTGCGGTCGCACGCTCGCGCAGGACGCTCGTGCTCCTGACGCTGCGCCACCTCTTGGGTGTCAGGTTCTGCCCGCACTGCCCCAACTGCGCCGCTTCGGAGCGGCCGTGCAGCGACGCGTTCGGGAGCAACGCCTTGGCCACGGGCGGGGTTTTGGGCAGGGTCGACGCGGTGTTTGGCTCCATCGAGTGCCAAAAGAGCGGAGCCCTCCACGCCCACATGCAAGTGTTCGTCCAGTGCCGCCATCAGCGCGACTCGCTGGCCAGCCTCCTTGACTTGGGTAAGCCCAAGATCCAAACCTTGCTGCAAAGGTATGCCTCCTACACTGCCCACGTCCGGCGCTCCGTCTACTGCGACCCAGACGGCTGGGAGCGCGATCGGGCTGCCGTGGAGGAGGAGTGGCCGGAGCACAAGGACTGCGCCTTGATGTTGAGCCGGCCGGCCTACCAGGCAAGCCGCCGGCTGCGGCCCGAGGAGTGGACGCGGCGATACTTGGCGGAGGACGTGGAGCAGCTGCAGCGGCGCAAGCAGCATCATGTGCATCTCCCTGCCGGCCCAGGCGGCGAGCGGCGGCCTCTGGCTCACTGCCGCAACCCCAAGGACCCGACGAGGTGTAAGAGCGGCTTCCCCCCAATTGATTCTGGGCCGAACGGCTCTGGTCTGCCGCGGCTTGGCCGAGCAGCTGGACCTGCCCGTCAAGGGCAAGCGGAGCTCTTTGGGCCTGCAGTGGCCGGTCAACGACCCGAACCTCAACGGCAACCACCCGGCGCTGCTGGCGGCGCTGCGCTGCAACGGCGACCTCCAAGTGCCTTATCGGTTCCCCGTGACTAAGGAGACCCACGACGACGCGCTCTGCCAGGAGGAGGCCTGCGTCGGCGACGGCGACGTCAAGCTGCTCGTCCGAGAAGCGCAAAGGACCCAGGCCGGGCGCGGGAAGCGGCCGCGGTTTTGCCCGGCTCTGTTTGCTCTCGCGTCGCGCAGGCCGCCCAAGCCGGCTACGGCTGCGACTACATGAACAAGCGGCTGCCCATTGCCGTGCACGAGCTCAAGGAGTGGCAGAAGGGCCAGCGGGAGCTGGGCAAGGAGTTGAAGGACAAGCCCGCCGGCTATGTGGGGGCAAGGGTGGCCAAGCGGTTGACCACCGACTGCTACGCCCGCGGCGTCTGCCGCGGCGCGGTGGAGTGCGCCAACCTGACCACGCGCGCGGCGGCCAACGACCCCACCGCGGCCGAGTCCGTCAAGACGGCGACCGTCCACCCGATCTCCTTGCGATTTGGCTTCCAGCTCCTGGACGCGGCCGCCGCCGGCGAAGCCTGGCCGACCGAGCCCCAGCATCTGCGGACGGATTTGCGGCCGCGCGCTCGGCAAGGGCGCGTGGTCTCCTGCCCCTTCTGGACGTTCTATGGCGCGCGGGGGCGCGCCGCGCAAGTCTATGAGCTCTGCGCCTTCGAGTTCGCGCGCCACTTCCGCTTCCAGCAAGCCAAGCGGCCCTTCACTTTGGCGCCGATGATGGGCGAGCTCAGCGGCTATCACGCCGCGCTGACCCACGCCGGGGCGGCGAAGCTTGACAGAAGCGCGCGGGCCAACTTGCAGCCCGGGGTGGACTACAAGATCCGCGAGGAGGGCGGGGAGGACTGGCTTCCGCTGGGGCACGGGGCGCTCGCCCAGAAGTTCAGACACGACTGGGTCCTCGTGCCCCGGAGCAGGCGCGGGCGGCGAAATAAGGCGCGAGTCGTTTAAGGACGGCGCCGATTCTCGCCAGGCCCCACGTCCCGGTGGTCCAGGGCGCCCTCGGCGGCCGCTCGGAGGTGGACTACGCGAGGTGCGTCTTGCTGCTCTTCTGCCTGTGGACGACCCACCCCGACGACGCCTCCGCCGCCGTCCCCTACCTGGGCGACCTCTGCAAGCTTGGCGAGACGGATTGGCGCCGCGCCTTGCGACGCAGGCTGATTCTCCGTGGCTTCCCGACCGAGGAGGTCAAGTTGTTCGCCCTCAACTTCTGCTTTGTTTACTGTCTGCCCCGCGAGCTGCGGCCCGACCAGCACTTGCAGGAAAACAGCGACAACGAGGTCCAGGACGAGCCCGTGTTCTTCGACAAGGCGGACTTAGAAGCAGCGCGAGCCACGCACGTCCGCGGGACGCGGGCGAGAACGGGGAGGAAGACGGCGAGGTGGAAGACGAAGCCGCGGCCACGCGGCTGTGCGTCATGACCAAGCAGATGTTCGACCTGTCTCGGGCCGCCTGGAAGACGGGCGGGGCGGCGAGCGCCTCGCCCGGCCCAAGAAGAGCGCAGCCCGGGCCTGCTCGGCCCGAAGACGAGGAGCTCGACCACGACGCGATCGCCCAGGCCGCCCGCGCGTCGCGCGGCAAGTCCAGGCTGCCGTTGCTCCCGGGCATCGGCGTGGCCCCGCAGGATCCCGAAGCGCAGCCGCTTGGGCCGCGCGTGACCGCGGACGGGCTGCTTGGCTGGCTCGGCAGCGAGCACGTCCAGAGCGGCTTGAACGCCAAGCAACTGGAGCTGCTGCGGGTGGTGGTGGAGAGGGTTCTGGTTGAGCTGGAGCTGGTGCCGCCGGACCACGAGATCGCTCTGCGGCGGGCTGAGCCCCTGGCCTGGCTTCTGCACGGCCCGCCGGGCGCTGGGAAGTCTCACGTCTTGAAGTTCTTGCGGGAGTTGTTCGAGGAGCAACTTGGCTACGCGCAGGGGATCGACTACGAGGCGCGCGCGAGCTCCGGCTTGCTGCTTCGGCCAAGTCGTTTCGCGGCAGGTGGCGGCGTTCCAGGCCGTCAACGCGGCCGACATTCGCGGGCGGACCCTCCACAACGCCTGCGGCCTTGGCGTCGACGCGGCCGCGCTGGACCGCGCCGTGAGCCAGGAGGCGGCAAAGAGAATGAGCTACTGGAGATGGCTCGTCGTCGACGAGATCAGCATGGTCAACGCGCGGTTGCTGGCGCAGGCGCACGAGAACGGGACCGTCTCGCTCGCGGCCCGCCCCTTTTTCTTTTGAGTGAGCGACAGGTCGAGCAGCGGCTGCGGGCGGCGGTCCCGTCGGCCAGCCAGTGGAAGCGCGGCGTGGCCGGGGAGTCGCGGCCTTTTGCGGGCGTCAACGTGCTGCTGCTTGGCGACTTCTACCAGCTGCCGCCGCCGAGCGGCGGCTACCTTGCGGACGTGCCCAGCAGCCGGCGGCCGCCGCGACTGAGCACGGCCGCCGATGCCGAGCCGGACCTCTTGGCGGACTACGGCAGAAACTTGGTGTGGGGCGGCGCCTTGCAAGGCGTGACGGAGCTGGAGGAGCGCAAGCGCAAGGACGACTGGTGGAACGAGGTCGTGGACGAGCTGCGGCGCGGCGAAGGAGAACTGGCGCTACCTCCACGGCAAGCCCGTCGAAGGTTGCCGGCTGACCGCGGCAGAGCGCAAGTCCCGGCGCCGGGTCATTGCGGGGCCGGGCGACCCGCGCTTGGGAGACGAGAAGTTCCGGTGGGCGGCGGCCATTGTTGCCAACAACGACGCCAAATACCAGATCAACAAGGACCGCGCCGAGGACTACAGCCGCGCGGCCGAGTCGCCACTCCGCTGGTCTGTGGCCCTGGATGCGCCGTCCGCCGAGGTTCTGCAGACGCAGGCGCGGGGGGGAGCGGGAGAAAAAGTTCAGGGCGCGAGGGAAGCTTCCTGCGTGCGCAGGAGTGCGACAAGGCTGCGCGGATCCGGTGGCTCCAGTATCACGACCGGGACACCGAGAACCTCTCCGGCATGCTGCCCTTGGCGGTCGGGATGCGCGTGGTCTTGGCCGACCACCTTGATCGCTCCGAGGACAAGCTGCTCCTCCGAGGTAGCGCCGGCCGCGTCCACTCCTGGGTCTGGCAGGAGAACGACCTGCGGCCGACCTGCGTCTACGTGAAGTTTGACGGGGCAACCTGGCAGCTTGACAGGGCGCCGGAGCCCGGCCTCTACCCTGTCTACCCCGCCCGCAAGGTCTGGAAGCTGGATGCCAAGCGAAAGAAGCCGGTCCTCAAGATCGCGCGGACGCAGCTTCCGCTGGCCCCGGCCTACGCGATCACGGCCCACGACGGCAGCCAGGGCAAGACGCTCCCCGCGGCGCTGGTGGAGTTCAACGTCGACAAGCGGACCGACGTGACCTTCGGGACCGTGGCTGCGAGCAGGGTTCGCTCCAGGGAGGACGTCTTGATCTTGAGGCGCCGGACAAGAGAGCGGGAGAGGGAGGGAAGAGCTTGGGTGAGGGGGGTTGTCCCTGGCAGGCCGTTTGAGCGCTGGCTCTACACGCGCGGCGCGCCGGAGGGCCCAGCCCTCCTGCTGCAGCAGCTGCGAGGCGAGGAGGTGGACTGGGGCGCGTTCAGGGAGACGAAGGCGCCGTCCGCGGCCTGCGAGAAATGCAAGGAGACGAAGACGCTCGATTACTTTTCCGACCGTCAGTGGGAGCGGGTCAGAGCCAACCGGTCGGCCATTTGCCTGGCCTGCGGCCCTGGCAAGGGCGGGCAGAAGACGCTGAAGCGCAAGCTGCCGTCTGGCCTGGCGCGCTTGGATTGCCGCGGCTGCAAGTCCCGGAAGCTGGAGGACGCCTTCCCGCGCGCGCAGCTCCAGCAAGACGAGTCTGAGGCCAAGCGCCGCTGCTTGAAGTGTTTGAAAGAAGTTCGCGCTTTGAACTGCTCCGTTTGTCTAGGCGAAAAGCCGCTTTCCGAATTCAACAGCGCGATGGCGACCATGCCTTGGGCGGCTGTCTGCGGCCCCTGCGGGAAAAGCGCAAGGCAGCAGCCGAAACCAGGCCGCGCCGGCTGGTTCGCTTGCCGAACTTGCGAAACTTTCCTGCCTCCGCAAGGCGCGGCGAGGGGCGAGGCCAGTGGTCAGCGCCGGCGGTGCTTGATTGCGCCGCCCGCGGTTCCCGGGCGAAGGATTGCCACTCTTGTCGCAAATGCGGGAAGCAGTGGATCGAGAGGCAAGCCGTGGGCGCGAATCGCCAGCGGCGCTGCCCAACGTGCAGGGCCAAGTGATTGCGGGGCGCAGCGCGAGCAAAAATGGGCGAGCTTGGGGGGTCGGATTTGCGGCTCGCGGGTTTGGCATTTCGGGCTTTAAGGTTTAGGTTTCGGGGCGCCCGGCTTCGAAGGTCGGAGTTTGGCTTTTGGCCGCGCAAGGTTTTCACGGCTCAGGCTTCAAGGGTTCAGGCTTCAGGCTCTTCAGGTTCAGGGTTCAGGCTCAGGCTTCAGGGTTCTGGTTGTTTGGGGTCAGGGTAGGGTCATTCGGGCTCCGCCGACTTCCGCTTGAGGCGCGTACGGCTGCTTTATCAAGGCGCTCCAATGGACGTTTTATCAAGCCAAGGCAGCCCATAGACCATTTTATCACCCGTAGACCATTTTATCGCCCCCAAATGTGGCAAGCCATAGACCATTTTATCGCCCGTAGACCACTTTATCTCAAAAGGCTTAGGGTCGACCCCCCCTATAGAGCAAAGTGATTCGCTGTTTTTGCTCTCCCTGGGATTCGAAGGCCTTCTTGTTGGGCGCCAAGCTGTGTTGGCGGACCCTAAACCCTAAACCCTAAACTTAAAGCTCGCGACGACGTACCGCTCGCTTAGAGCGACATGGAGTCGTGAGCGCACGGCGCGCTTAGCGCCCGGGCAATAGCTCCAGGCTATTGCCGATAAAGCGCCAGCAGCTATGCAGCTGCCCCAAGGGCTTGAAGTTTCTTGGGAACGTGCCTGGGCACTTATATGTTTATGCGAAGCAATATTATATTACCCTAAAACCTAGGTCCTAGACCCTAACCTGGCTTCAAGGCCGCGTCAAAGCTCTCCTTGATAAAACGGCCATCGGCCTTGATAAAACGGCCATTGGCCTGGCCACTGGCCTTGATAAAATGGCCATTGGCTTTGATAAAACGGCCTTTGGCGTTGATAACATGGCCATTGGCTTTGATAAATTGGCCAACACCTTGTGAGTATGGGCGTTGGACCTCCAAATCTTAAAATCTGAACACGGGGTCATAATGAATCTGGGCCGATAGTAGCCCAAATTGAGGAATTTGGGCTAAACTCCGATACCATCAAAGCGGTCTGCTTTCGGCCTGCGCTATGCCCCCCAACGCTCGCGACGAAATCGCAGAAGCCGCGCCCTGAACGATGGCCCCTCACTGATCCGTCGCTCCCGCCTTGCGCTGCGCTTCCAACGCAGCCAGCAAACGGACGACGGCTTGTCGCCAGCCTCTGCGCAACGCAGCCAGCGCGCGGCCGACGGCTCGTTGCCGACCTCTTGCTCGCCTTCGAAGCAGATCGCCCCCGCGTCGCCTTCTTTCTCCGAAGGAGCCCGCGGGGAGTCGACCAAGGCCAGCGCGCGCGACTGCCAGAGCAAAGCTTTGGGCTCCAAGCTGCGCCTTCCAGCGAATACCGTGTTGAAATCGCTGCAGCCTTGGCCTCAACTATGGCCCAACGCTTGCTCAAAGTCGTTACAGCCGTCGGTCCCTTGCCGGCCTTTGCCTCAAGCAGAGCAGCTCCACGCGCGAAGACCGCTTGCGAAGCCGAAGCGCGTGCGACCGCCCCAGTGTAGCGCAGTGAAGCTTTGGGCTCAGGCCAGCGCCGCTGCAAATTTCACGCGGCAAACGCTTCTGCGACTCAACTTGCTCCAGCTGCAGCGCTCGGCTAGCGCTAGCGATTAAATCGCTGCAGCCTTCGCCTGAAATATCCTCCGCCTCCTGAAGGGGCTCGCGGCGAGTCGACCAAGTGACGTGGCCAGCGCGGGCTCCAACCGTCGCAGCTGCGCCTTCAAGCGGGAACGTATCTGCAAATCCTAGCGTTGAAATCGCTGCAGCCTTGGCCTCAACTATGCCCCAACGCTTGCTCAAAGTCGTTACAGCCGGCATGTGGGAGCCTCAAGCAGAGCAGCTCCGCGCCAAGCGCTTCGCCTGAACTATCCTCCGCCGCTTGCACGCGGCGAAATCGCCACAGCCAGCCGTCGACCCCTCGCCGGCCTGCGCGAAGCTGCGTCACAAGCAAGCGCCCACGTCTCCTTAGGAGTGGTGCGAATCGGCCGAAACGTGGCCGGCGCGTGCGACTCTTTGAGCTCAAGCCGTCGCCCTAACCTGGCTTCGAGGCCGCGTCAAAGCTCTCCTTGATAAAACGGCCATCGGCCTTGATAAAACGGCCATTGGCCTGGCCACTGGCCTTGGTAAAATGGCCATTGGCTTTGATAAAATGGCCATTGGCTTTGATAAAATGGCCAACACCCTTGATGAGATGGGCGTTGGCCTCCACAAAGCGGCCGTCGGGGCTGCAAATCTTAAATTCTGAATACGGTCATATGAATCTGGCCATCCGTAGCCCAAATGAGGAGATCCGGCCATTGGGCTGCCACTCGGCAAACCTCCTTGCTACCATCAAAGGGTCTGCCCTTTCGGCCTGCGCTATGGCCCCCAACGCTCGCGACGAAATCGCAGAAGCCGCGCCCTGAACGATGGCCCCTAACTGATCCGTCGCTCCCGCCTTGCGCTGCGCTTCCAACGCAGCCAGCAAACGGACGACGGCTTGTCGCCAGCCTCTGCGCAACGCAGCCAGCGCGCGGCCGACGGCTCGTTGCCGACCTCTTGCTCGCCTTCGAAGCAGATCGCCCCCACGTCGCCTTCTTTCTACGAAGGAGCCCGCGGCGAGTCGACCAAGGCCAGCGCGCGCGACTGCCAGAGCAAAGCTTTGGGCTCCAAGCTGCGCCTTCCAGCGAATACCGTGTTGAAATCGCAGCCTTGGCCTCAATCAACTATGGCCCAACGCTTGCTCAAAGTCGTTACAGCCGTCGGTCCCTTGCCGGCCTTTGCTTCAAGCAGAGCAGCTCCACGCGCGAAGACCGCTTGCGAAGCCGAAGCGCGTGCGACCGCCCCAGTGTAGCGCAGTGAAGCTTTGGGCGCAAGCCAGCGCAGCTGCAAATTTCACGCGGCAAACGCTTCTGCGACTCAACTTGCTCCAGCTGCTGCGCTCGGCTAGCGCTAGCGATTAAATCGCTGCAGCCTTCGCCTGAAATATCCTCCGCCTCCTTTCTACGAAGGAGCTCGCGGCGAGTCGACCAAGTGACGTGGCCAGCGCGGGCTCCAACCGTCGCAGCTGCGCTTTCAAGCGGGAACGTATCTGCAAATCCTAGCGTTGAAATCGCTGCAGCCTTGGCCTCAACTATGCCCCAACGCTTGCTCGAAGTCGTTACAGCCGTCGGCCCCTTGCCGGCATTTGGGAGCCTCAAGCAGAGCCGCTCCGCGCCAAGCGCGCGCGACCGGCCCAGTCTAGCGCAGTGAAACATTGCGCTCAAGCCAGCGCAGCTGCATCTTTCACGCTTGCTCCAGCTGCAGCACTTGGCTAGCGCTAGCGACTAAATCGCTGCAGCCTTCGCCTGAACTATCCTCCGCCGCTTGCTCGCGGCGAAATCGCCACAGCCAGCCGTTGACCCCTCGCCGGCCTGCGCGAAGCTGCGTCACAAGCAAGCGCCCGCGTCTCCTTAGGAGTGGTGCGAATCGGCCAAGAAACGTGGCCGGCGCGTGCGATTCTTTGAGCTCAAGCCGTCGCAGAATAAAAGATGCTGAATAAATTTTCAAGCGTATTGCGCTGCGGGTTGTTTTTGTCTTCGCTTTTGCGAATCAAGCGCTTTTCCGTATCACTCGCCCTTTTTTTTATTATTTTATTTTTTTTTTGCGTGGCTACAAATATTAAAAACCCCTAAACCCTATAAGATTTGTCTCTGGGCGGTTTTGGTGTGGGTTGAAGCAGCCGCCTCGGCGCGCCGCCCCGCGACCCTCTGGGTCGAGGCGCGCCGCTTCCGAGGGCAAACCCTAAACCCTAAACCCTAAACCCTAAACCCTAACCCTAAACCCTAAACCCTAAACCCTAAACCCTAAACCCTAAACACGCGAGCATGCCTCTGGCCATATACATGGGCATGCGAGCCTTCGGGCTCGAGGTCAAGCCGAGACGCCAGTGCGAACCTGAGGGCCTGCTAGGGTCAAGCCTAGCAGGACAACCGCTGTGCGGCTCTGCAAGTGGCACGACGACCCACACCCTTGGCGCAGCCAATATAGGATTACCCTAAAGCCTGCACCATTTGGCTACGGAGGTCGCTTTGTGCACTGCGGATAACTTTTGCATACGGGTAATAGCGGGGCCTGCCCCGGATGGGGGGGGGTACACGGCGGGCCGCTTTTTGCGCCGCTGATAACTTTTGCATACGGGTAATCTGGGGACCTGCCCCGGCTGGGGGGGGGTGTACGCCAAGCACAAGGAGCCTTGTGGATCCCTTCTCGCGCTGTTGATAACTTTTGCATACGGGTAACACGGGGGGCTTGCCCCAGCTGGCGGGAGCGCACGCCAAGCACAAGGACCTGTGTCGATCTTGCTTCTCGCGCTGTTGATTTCCTTGTTTCAGACGAAGCGGCGAAGCGTGCGCGCAGGTCACCCCCGCGCAAGCGCAGCGCCTGACACGCTCAGTTCTGCGGCTTGCTTGCGCGCTTGGCGCCTTGGCAACTCCACGCTTTGCAGCGTGATTCTGAAGACGCCGTCTACATGGCGCTTGCCGGCGCGGCCCACGCCCAGGCAAACGCAGCAGGATCAGGTAGACGGCGTCTACGCGGCGCCCTTGTGGACGCTGCGGATTATGTAGACGCCGTCTACATGGTACTTGCAGCCGCAGCCCGCACCCAGGCCAGCGCATCGCGCAACGCGCTCGCGTGGAACCTGCGGCCTACGCAAGCTAGGCAACTCGAAAAAGGACTAGCGCTTCGCAGCGCGACCCATGCCTGCGCAGGCTAGAAGTTTAGCAAGGCAAGCAGCTGGCAGCCAGGCAAACGCAGCAGGATCAGGTAGACGGCGTCTACGCGGCGCTTGGTCGTCCGCCCGCCGTGGGCGCTGAGGATTATGTAGACGCCGTCTACATGGTACTTGCCGCCGCAGCCCGCACCCACCAGCGCAGCGCGCAACGCTACGCAAGCTGGGCAACTCGAAAAAGGACTTGGGCTTCGCAGCGCGACCCATGCCTGCGCAGGCTAGAAGTTTAGCGAGGCAAGCAGCTGGCAGCCCAACTGCTTCAGACAGCGCCGCGTTGGCTTGGAACCCG